TGAACTCGACTTCTGAATAAAACCGTGCTGTAACAATTCTTCTATTTGTTTCTTTAATTCTTCTGTCTCATATTGCGACATTCGATACGGTGGTCTTGCCGTAGGTTTCGCTCCTGGTATGAGATGTATCCTATGAGTTACACTCTTGAACTCTGGTAGTCTCTGCGGACTTTCATTAGTAACTACATCACTAAACTCTGACTTTACGAAATCTGGTACTTCCTTATCTTTTTCTAGAGTTTCTTCCGTAATGTAAAACATTCCTATATCTGCCTCTTTTGGTCTGATATCTCTTAAAAACTGATTAGAATCAACATATTCTATCTTTTGTGTCTGCAACTCCTTTTCAAACTTTTCTACTAAGGGTTCTTTTGCACAATTACTTACACCAAATACTTTTTCCTCAACAATATCCTTGTTATATTGCTTTGTAAATGGTCTTCCTAATATGATAGGATGCTTGAATGCAGCGACATACATCTGTACGTCTACAAGCTTCGTTCCTATTTCTAAATTCACTTTAACTTTCTTGTTAGCCTTTATCGCTTCACCTGTAGCTGTGGTCAACGCTACCTCTGGTGCTAACTCTGTACTTAATTTCGTTTTCTCTACCAATTCTGGTGTAATGAAATTACATTGAGCTCCGGTATCTATTAAAGCTCTACTTTCTTTACTTCCAATTTTTACTGGAATTATGAATAACGACTCTTGAAGTTTATTTTTACCCTTGTCTCTTACTTTGGACTTCTCTTTGGGTTCTTTTTCTAACTTCGAGTTTCCCACAAAATTCACATCGCATGAATTTTCTAATAGTTTTTCTAATTTCTTAATACTTCCTTGTATTTTCATGATACATTTTCTTTTATCCTGTATCTCCGTACTTTCTAATTCTGATTCATATTCCTTTAGAATATTATCGTATATATCTTCGTTTTCATTGAGTTGTTTTGTTTCTTTGTTCTCAACTTGCTTCTCTAACTTCACTTGATTGACATCTACTGTGATATCTTTTCTTGACTTTCTATTCACTTTCGTATTTAGGTCTTTCACTTTGTCAAATCCGACCTGTCTATTTGACTGCTTCAATTTTTTGATTTGTTTGAGCAATTGGTTGCAAAATGACCTTCCTTACCACAGTTATAACAAACTTTACTTTTCTTCTTTGCCTTTACTGAATCGATTTCCATGTTGTCTGAATTATTTTGAGGCTGATATCTATGAAAGGCATTCTTTGAAAAAGGAGTTTTCTTCTCCCACCATGATAACTCTGTGTATTGCGTTTCAAATACTAATGCGTATTCTATGGCTTCACTCAAAGTCGAGGGTCTCTGCAATTTGACATGAGGTTTTAATTGACTTCTAAGGTTGTTAATATATGCAGTTACTTTAGCCTCTTCTCCAAGAAAATTTCTGGGTAATTCCAGAAGAAGGGTAGAGAACCTAGAATTATACTGTTCTACCGATCCTAATTGTACACATGTAATTAATTTGTTGTAGATAGATTGAACATCATACCCTTGAGCAAATTGCTTACGTACTCTGTCGGCAAAATCGTCAAATGTATCCGTCTGATCTATTTTTTGTTCTCTATATTCTAAAAACCATCTTTCTGCAATTCCTGTCATATTTCTTCCTGCTAAAGTTATTAATTGTTGATCCAGAAGTTTGTACCCAACAGAAATTCTAATGATCTCTTCAATAAATTCCTGTATTTTTGTAGGATTTTTTGTTCCATTGTAAGACTTCACTTTTGCATTTAAGAGAAATATTCTTAACTCTCTTTCTTCAGCTTCTGCTTTCATGAAATTGATTAGTTCAAGAACATGATCTGGACTATGTCTGTTGTTCGACATTCTTATTTTCACTCTGATTTCTGATCTTGCTTGCGGCGCTACCAA